ATTGCTATACAGACCATATAAAAGCTATGACTAGGTGCAGCTTGTCTATTGTATAATACATAAACAGGTCAAAGTCCATCTTTTACTCTCTTAGGTATCCACACCCTACATTCTGTGGAGTGCAAAGAAGCATTTGTTATGCATCTCGGGAGTGAAGTAAAGCCCTCTGTGTGTCACTCACTCAGACAGCTTCAATGATAAGCGTCTGAATCATCGTGAAAGAGCAGAATGAGGGAACAGACCTTGGTTTAGTCGGCCAGCCTTCACATGCAAGTCCCAAAACAAAACAAGGTGACTCTGTTCCCAGAATTCTCTTCAAAACTAACACAGTTTCCATAGCAAAACAGAAAAGAAGGGTGTTTGTCCATAAACACACATCAGTTAACAGTTTGACCAATGATATGCATTGAATTCTGCATAGCTTGTAAGCAAATCTACACCTCATTTCCACTGCAACCAATTGGTTTGTTTTAAGAGGGGCTTTACGTATCTCAGGTCCACCTTGGTTCCTCTTTAACTTAACGCAATATAAACATAGCTGACAAGGGCATGTCCTGCTGGAATGTGCAAATACTGTCTTTATATGCCCACTGAAAACATTACCACAAAGAGCCAGTCATTTACTCCAAAATAAAGCATTTTCCCTAGTCACTAGATTCAGTGGGTTCAAAAAGTCAGAGATCACTTGAAAATGTTTTTATTTAGCATTTCAATTGTTTGTTTTTATAATGTAATACTTTTTGTGTATAAAATCTTTCTAGTTTTTTATTGTTGAAAATTAAAATGTAATTCACAACTGAACATAAATGTATGTTAAATTACCTCTTTATTATTTCACATCCCCCCAAAAAGGCTTTAATAAATCATTCACATTTAGAACTGGGGTTAGGTAAAAATATTTACCCTGTGGTAAATTTTTTTTAATAAAAATAAATGCACCTAGTGCTCTTAAACCTTATTATGTTGCAGAATTATGCCAACATTGTGTGTAGTGTAAAAACAATGCTTATTAAAATTTTGTATGGCCCATAATGATGTGTTTTAGACAGTTATGGAAACACTGTGTTGTTTATGAATAGGGTTGAGCAGTATACTGGTACTGTAAATACATACCTGTCTGTAATTATTGTTTTAAATGGTAAAATATCAAGATTTTGCTCATTTCGGTATAAGCTGTGACGACTGTGTTCGAGTCCGGAGAAAAACAATTCTAGAAAGCAGGTAAGACAAAAGCCAAACAAGTAAATAACAGGGTGAGAATGTGGTAAAATCTGAAAATGTGGTACAAATCAGGCTGCCGCGAGGGCTTTTCTTTTTCTGGATTGCTTTTGAAAATAAAGTCAGTTGGGTTTAGGAAAGAGGGTAGGCGCTGGTCAATCAGTGCTTTTCAAAACACTATCGGGTGGGTTTATGGAAGGAGGTCGGTGGCGGAATCAGTCGGTTGGTCAGCGGCCCTTTGGTGGGTTTACGTGAGAACAGCAGGTGTGAATGGCGCTCGTGAGAGAAATTTGAGATCTGAAAAAGCATACACAGCGGCCTATGGTGGATTCACAAAAACAAAAACTGCAAAAAAGTAGCTCCTGGGATATATTTGGCACTCTCTAGAAATGTATATAGAGGTACGTAATCAATAATATATCATAAATGTTTCTTCTCCATTTGACATCCCGTTTTTGTAAAAAATTAAAAATAAAATAGAAGCTAAAGAAATCTTCCACATGTGTGATTGAGAATTGGAGTTAGTAATACTTTTTAACTGTGGTAAAAAAAAATATATATATATGCACCTGGTGCTTTTTAACCTTACTATGTTGCCAATTTCTGCCAATATTGTGTAGAGTGAAACAATGCTTAATAAAATCGTGTGTGCCTCATATTCATGTGCTTGAATATACTTGTCTGTAATTATTGTTTTAAATGGTACAATATAATTATTTAGCTGGTAAAAGCTGCTGTTCTGATGTACAAAGAAATTTAGGCAGAAGGATTTCAAGAATTTTGAATATTGCAAAAATCACAGTGGCTCACTGGCTCACTGTCGCCTCACAGTAAGAATGTCGCTTGTTTTAGTCCTAGCTGGGCAGGTTGGCATTTTTATGTTTGCATGTTCTCCCTGTGTTCACGTTACCTCCGGAAGCTCCGTTTTCCCCCACTGTCCAAAGACATGCGCTATAGGGGAATTGAATAAACTCAACTGGCTGTAGTGTATGAGCGTGTGGATGAGTGTGTATGGGGTTTTTCCAGCACTGGGTTGCAGTTAGAAGGGTATCCGCAGTGTAAAACTGTGTAAAATACAGAATAGTTGGTGGTTCAATCTGCTGTGTTGACTAATCCAAAGAAAAATAAATGAATAATTGGTCTGTGTGTGAACAAAATTGCACGCTTCATTACTACACATACATTAAGGCATGAGTGAAACTTGACTTCATCCCCATAGCTGTCTGACAAGCGTTTTACAATTTTATCTGATAAAAACATCATCCTGTCATGTACATACAGGTACTAAAACAATAAAAACTTAAAAACTGAATGTAACAGAATAATATGAGTAATAACAAGGATATAACAAAGGAGCGGTATTATAGGGAGTATAACAAAAATATATTCTGATATTGTTACATTGAGTTTCGGCTGAGCTACTATGCACCATGTTATACAATCTTGTCATATTGGGCACAGAGAGATATTCCTTATGCCTTAATGCAACAGCAGAGTACCATGCAGTGTTCTTAATAATATTGTTTTCAATTTGGTTATTATTTGATTCTGGTTATTTGTCTACTATGGTATTAAATTAGTATTAATATACTGGTGCATTTGTTTCTTGAGAGAACGATCTTCGAAAATGCATCAGTTGGGGTGAAGAAAGGAACTAAAAAGTCAACAAACTTTGTAGCACGTTATGTCTATTTATAATATATTCAGGGCACCTATATGTAAACAGGTTATGTACTGTGCTCATCCAGTCAGGGAATGGCTGGTGACGTCAACCTAGAGTTTAAGAATGTACCATGTGAAACGCTAGTATATAAAAACCCAGGATTAATTGTTAATCAAACATGGATTTTGGTTATAATTTTTATTGTTATAATTAAAACACTAAGTTCTAATGACTGTCATATCTCTGTGAGTCATGTGTCTAATGATTTATCATTGCCAATGTGAGACAGAGAGAAGGTGGCACAAATGACAGAATAATTTAATAAATAACCCCAACGCTGTTAACTCTCCATCCTTGAGCAAACATAGCATGATGATATGGCCTAATTAGAGAAAACAGTTGATACATTAGCAATGTACATTAGCACTATTTCCATCCAATGAGTAAAAGAGGACAAAATCGTCACTTTCTGATAAGCTGGTGGCAAATATCAAAAAGAAAAATTGTTTGCTGGTTGAGAGAAGCTACTGTGGGCCTTTTTTCTAAAAATAATAAATTACTTGTGCCTCAGAAGATGAAGACAAAATGCAATGCAATCATCCTTTGGAGGCGAAGCCGTTTAGAAAGTTCTGGGAAGTAATAATATGAAACCACTTTGATGATGAACTTTGGTTAAGGCATTTTAGAATGATCAAAACAACATTTCAGATGTTCGATCCGCTGATTTGTACATTGATGCTATCTTATCTTCCCCATTTTTTCCCAATAGCATGATGTGCTAAAACAAAATCGCATGACTTTTTGATGCGCATGCTGGAATCTATGTGTTTCCATCATAGTTTATTCACATTTTTTTCTTATCAAATAGAACTTTTATCAAACTCAGTTGAGCACATACGCTGTTTTATGTGCATTTTCAAAATGTATGAACATCTTGGTGTTTCCATTACGCACTTTCATCTGATTTTTCAAAATGCCCATAAAATATGGCTATTGTTCATAAGCACTAAAAAGGGCATTCAATTGTTGTTGGGAACCAGCTAAACTAAGAACATCTGTATAGGACAAAAATGCAACACTCTCGATCATGCCAAAGCCAGGTGTTCCCTACTAAGACAAAATGTGCATGTTGCAGGTGAATCTATTTGCACTGTCATTGTTATCAGGAGGACAGATTGAGTTTAGCTTACTCTCCAAAAAACAAAACACCACCTTGACCGAAGCCAAGGATCTTAGATTAAGGAGAGACAAACACCAGACTTAAAGACCTCTGTGTTCAATGCTTTCCCACTGCACTAATGTCTTCAGCATGACCATATAGAATTACTTAATAAGCAGAAAAAAGCATACAGTAGAATCTATCAAGGCAAGGCTTCAGCTGATAAGCCATATTTGTGAACTGTATTTGCCAAGAAACGGCTAATCAGTGCAATTTTCATGCAATTTAGTGAGGGCAAACTTATGTTTTTGTTATGTTAGGCTATATTAGGCCTTGGCTGAGAACTGTTGTGGAAAAGATCTCTAAAAGCTGTTTTTACTGGCAGTTATTCAATGGAAATGATAAGTAAAACAAAAGCAGAAAAATTAACATTTTGCCACCATTTACTCAACCTTTACTTATTCAAAGCATATTTTCCAGTTTCTGTTGGGCACATGTTTATATTTTCTGTAGTTTTTTTCTATTATGGAGGTTAATGGGTCCCAGCAACCAGCTTTCTTCAAATTATATCATGTTCAACAGAAGAAAGAAATTCATAGAGGTTTCAGGGAGAATAAAAGATGAGGCAGTTTTGATTATTGGGTATTGCTTTAAGTAATGCATAATAATTATGCAATATGTAGAATTCCAACTGCATAAGCGACTAATTGTTGAGTTAATGCAATGTACGCAACAGCAACAGTACATAATAATCTGAGGGTCATATTTTATATGTAAGTACCCCCAGGCATAGCTTCATTTTCATTTAATAATGAAAGGGATGTTTGTAATGTTTGGAGCAGATGCTGACAAGCGTATTGTGATGATGTTGTGCCGCCGGCCTCCGACATCGTTGGAAAAATGTTTTGTGTCATGCAAAAGCCATAAAAAAAGAAAGAAAACTGTCATATGGTATCATACCTGAATCATCTCTATGCCTTGTTTTCTGGAAAAGAAGAGAAACAAACTATGAATATTTAATATTGATTCCATGTGATGTACAATTATAGTGTTGTTGATACTTTACGAAGGGAACAAATATGAAAATAAAGGGGAGTTGTGTCACCTAAAACAATACCTTTTTAAACTTTAGTCTCTCACACAAAAAAGCAAAACAAAGCTGATACTCAAAATAAACACATTCCTTTTTTTTAAATAAGTGTTAACAGGTTATGTAATGAATAGTGTGATTATTATTGTGCTTATTGTAGGTAAACAAAAAAGACACTGAAAAGAACTATAATCAACTGACTGACAAGGTTGTGAATTAATGAATGTATGTGGGAGTTTATCAGTATTGGTGAGTAAGTCACTTGCTTTTAAACCCTCTTTGTGAACTATGTGAAAATATCTTTTATCAAAAGCCATATATGACAGCCAGTAGCATAACAAATGCTGAACGTGTTCCACAAGCTCAGGTAAAATCCCTCTGCAAACCGGTTATTTGCAGACTAAAGCACGTTTCCAAAAAAAAAAAAAAGAGAGATCACATTACAGTGACTCTGAAACACCTAGCGTCCTCTCAGAAATGTAATTTAGCCCACGCACAAAACGTCTTCCACACAGGTACACATTTAAGGCATGTTCATGCGCCTCCCTCTGCAAACAGAGCATTTACAGCTTTACAGCCATACTCGCAACACTGCAATGTAGAATCCAATGGCCTATACACACCAAACAATTTACTCCTAAGTGGTTATGAAATGAAAAATTTGGTTATACCTGAGATTTTAATATGTAAGAGGTCATTGCACCGAAGAAATATCCTGTAAGTATCAGATCTGAAATCAACCTTGTTGCTGATATAAGAGCTTTTAAATGACCCGAGGTGAGGAAAACACCAGATCCTGGAATGTGCCTATCTATGATGTCATAAGTGGGTAAAACACTGCTTTCACCCAAGAATGCCTGAAACTTTAGCTCTGACCACTAATTTGTGCATGACATATTTGAATCGAGCCACAGAGGTGCAATAAACAAGCCTGGTTGTGGATAAACAAACACACACACACACACATACACACACACCCACACACACACATAGTCAAAATGAGAAAGAGATCTATTAGAAATCTATTTTTCTGCTATTATCTATGATTTTATTTATTTATAACCATGTTGAAATAAGTTTTTTTATGTTCTATACACAATGTCTCATTCATTATAAATTAACATGAGTTGGCTATATGAATTTATTGATTTCTGAAGAGCACAGATGAATAGAGACACACAGGATACATTACAATCAGATTAAAAGACTTTAAAGCAACAAATGTTTTCAGAGGTTTAATTTTAATACAACGGCATCCTAAACACATCATCATTTGAGATCTGAGAAATAATATTATTTCAACATATTATTCAATGAAATGAACACAACAAAAAAAGTCTGCGTGAATATGCTTTAATATATAACCTTTTATATATTATATAACCTTTTTATATATTAAGCAAATATATGCAACTTTCTCTTGTGGCTCCCCTTGTGGTTGATAAGCGCAATCGCCTGTTACCAACAATGCAGATCTCACTGTTCTGCTCACAGGCATTTCTATTTATGACCATGGTTCCACTGACTGGGGATGGCCAGGGCTGTGTGTATTGGGTCACTCATTCAAAGTTGCATGTGTGATTTTAGGACTTCTTCTAGTTAAATTCAGAACTTAAAAATTAATTGTAAATTTTTCCACAAATATAATTTTAGAGACATTATTTTAAGGTCAAAAAAACTTACTTATAGTGCTGCTATAAAAATTATATTTAACAAGTATTGTAGGTTATATTTTCTGTAATCCACATTTAAAGAGCCTCACACACACACACACACACACACACACACACACACACACACACACACACACACACACACACACACACACACACACACACACACACACACACACACACACACACACACACACACAGACACACACACACACAGACACATATATATTTATAGTTTAAATTAATAAGGTTAAATTATTGTATGATACTCTCACTCATATCTGCAATATCAAAATTGACTAATATTTTGAGTTTAAAGATAAAGTCTGTAAGCTTGTCTGTGACTTGCATTAATGTCATTAAAAATTTGACATTGCAGCCTGATCACATTCAATAACTAAAAGCTATAAATTAAAAGAAGAACTAACTTAAGAATGATTTATTAGAATGTCAATTTTCATGCTAGTTTAATTTGTAGTGAAAGCAAACTATTTAAAAGGGTTGTGTGTCATGTCAATTTCACCACACCAACACGTTTAATTCCTCACATAAACTGGTTGGAGAGTCGAAAGCTAGTTTGCTATGCAGAACAGTTATCCAATCATACTTCCAATGCATCATTACGAATCGGCCATAAAATCTCAAAACCAGAAAGACCTCATTATTAGTTATGGATTTGAAAAGTTTTGGAAATAAAAAAGCATGCAAACATCATAAGAGGACCTCAGATAAAAAAAGAATAATAATAAATACAGTTCATGATGCCTTGAAGCAACAGTCATGGTCTTGCTGCTGACTCTTAGGAATGCATGGAGCCTAAAAGAGATATGCAAGCAATGTTACTCCTAAAACTGTGGTATTAAGGACTAACTGCTTCCTGGTGCTTCTCCAGGTAAATTATAAACTTTGTTCAGGTCTTCGTCATTTTATGGCTTAAAATTCTACAGATGCTTTTATGAGCATTTAATTATGAGGCCAGTGTTGTAGGTTATACTTTATATAAGCACAATTCAGAGGCAGGGACTCCCCAGTAGCCAGATTAATTATGCTGACAAAAGGATATCAATGTTTTTATGATTTAAAACTTTATATCATTAATGCAATTACGGTTAGTTCATTTTAATTCTAAACTGCATTGCATTTACGTAGTGGTTGTGGATAGGTTATTTTTACATTATGTAGAGATAACTCGTCTGAATAATGTAAATAATTAAAGTTTTGTCATAAGGGAATTCTAGAACAAAGATGATGGTGAGAAATTGAAAATGAAATGAAAAAGCTTTTTTTTTTTTTTACTGGTTACTATAAAGGGATTGAGACTACACTGACCACCAAGAGGACATGAAGAGGTAGGCATTATAAATAATGTCTCCTATATCCTAAAGCACTTCTATAAGCTCCACTTTCTACAGTTGTGTTATTATACAGTAGAATTCAATATAAACTCTGTACTTTAAACTCTATTATCATTTATCCTATAGACAGCAACAAATAGCTAAAATAAACTTTTAATTTTGCTAATATTAAATGACCAGCTGTTTTAACATTTGTTCCCTATCAAACAAACTGGCTTGTTTTTATTTGATATGCTTTGTAATTTATTGGTAAGCAATTCAAAAAAATAGTTTCGATAGTAAAATGCTACTGTCAACAACTCATTAGATTCTAGCACTTTAAAATCATTAAAATAGGTTCAAATAACTACAATACTATAAAATTGCAGTGGGCTATATGCACAGCGAGTATTTTTTAGCCAATGATAAACCTCCACTGAAAACTTTTTTGACTACTTTCAATTTAATAAGGTTCCTTTTATGGCATCGACGTTGTTATGTAATTACAATACATTCAGTAAAATAGACTTTAGCATTCATTTGGTTGTTAAAGAGTAAAAAGAGATGATTTAACGTTTAAACGTTATCATTAGCAGCAGGCTAGTGCAAAAAACTCCATTGAAAATACTGGGGTAAAATTAATTTGGGGTAAATACTGGGGTAAAATTAATTTGGGGTAAATACTGGGGTAAAATTGATTTCATTAATTTGAAGACATGGTGCGGAAAAATATTTTAAAGCAGTGCTTTTTGTTTGGTCTGATACCCACTTTATATTGTATATCAGCCAGACAGTCAAGATCACAGTTTTTTTTTTTTTTTTTTGGATCTGATCTTAAACACAGCGATTTTGTATGGGATGACAATTAACTAAAAGCCCGGGGCTGGCTGACTGAAATTAAAAGTCTGTGTGCATATACCCCATTATGCCAAATAACTCCAACTGTACTAAACAACAATCAACTTTTCCATTGTTATATTTATGTATAGTTGCCTATGTGGTAAAACATCAGATCTCAACTACTCAGTTTGACAAGTATCATGTCTAAATGAAATGCAGTAATAATTAGTAATATAATATAATAGTTTAATAGTTGCAATAGCAAAAGCTATTGCAAAAAAAAAAAAAAAAAAAAACACCACCCAGTTAGGGAAAGAAAATTTAGTTAAAACTGGAATAGACAGTTGTGCCCCTTAAAAGAATTCAGCCAAAAATGTTAATTATATACAGTATACCCTTCAGTTGTTACGAACCTGTTTGAGTTTTTTTTCTTGTGTTAAACACAAAAGAAGATGTTCTTCTTTTGCTAAAAAAAAAACTAAGAACCTGCAATCATTGACTTCTACTGTATGTGTTTTTTTTTTTTTTTTTTGCTATGGAAGTCAATTCTTACAGGTTTTCAGGCTTCTTCTAAATATCTTTTAAAATAAAGAATGAACCCCTTTTGAAACACTTGGGGATGAGTAAATGCTGGGTACATTTTAATATTGAAGTGAAATTATATAAATTAACCAAGCTTTTAAAAAATGCTGCTGTAGTTTAACTATGGTAACATCACAAACCATACTATAGTAATCTGTAATAATGCAATAATGGTAATTTATGCACTAACAAACATGGTTACTACACTTGTATTACAATAACACCACAGTTAATATTAGTAAGAAGTTTATAAATGAAGTATTAAACATAATTAATAGCTAAAATCCTGGCAACAACTGGAAAACATATCAATCTAAAGTCAAATGTAGGCTGATTGTGAGCGTTTTTTACACACCTGCACAAATCCACGAAGGTTTGGAAATTGAGTTTTTTAATCTTCTTCTCACTGAGCCAGTATCCAACTCGCTTTCCTTTCACGAACGTCTGCATCTCTAAATACAGATAGATACAGATAGACAGTAAATAAAGCAGTTTGGTTAATAAGTATTGTAAAGTACATGAAGAGAGTACTTAAGAATAAGTTAGTTGTTATGTTAAAAAATACTGACGACTTCATGAAAGCGAGAATGAATTTACCTGACAGAATGAATGTACTGAATCAATGTGAAGTTGCGAGTCTCTCCTTTACGTCTCGTAAAGTCCAAGTTACAGGTTTAGACTGTCATCAAGGGTCCATCCAGTATTGCTAGTGTCCTCCAGAAAGCGTGTCTCTCTGTCTAAATAGTTGTTCAATTTTATGACAACTTCGTCACATTATTTATATGACAGCAACACGTATCGACATAACAAACACATCATGGCAGAAGGCAGTCTGAGAGCGGCGCGGGTGCCCCTTGCCTAACTGAGATCTCAACGCTTATATGCCCAAATGGTCTGTCCATTACTCGCCCATGCTGTCGATTATCAATGTAATGTTGATTGGCCACTTGGACAGCAACGAAACTTATTTGCCAAGACACACCCTTTCAGAGGCGGGATGTTAACTGCGGGATGTTAGCTAGAGGCAACGTTCATTCATTAATTCATTCATTCTATTGTGTCGTGCCAAAGTTGAAATGTTTCACAGGAACTATGTAAATGAAAGTAAGTGTAGACTTGTGATTGGACGTAATAAGTTTTTTATTATAAAAAACTTCTTTTATTGTGTTAATAAAACATTATACAGGCACATGGAGGGATCAATGACTGGGATGGATGCATGGGGCAGACGAATTGCTCCATTCAAGAATAAGCTAGAGTGACAACATTCATACTATATATTCTCAGTTAGACCCTCCTTCAATCTGAGAGAAATCATCCATTTCAAGTGCTTCAGTATAAAACTCATTTTTAGGTAAAATGGTAATTTTTTAATGTTCAGAAAATTTCTCATACTGTCTAATCTGTTTTCATGAAACATTATTCATTTGTATAATTGAAACCACAGTTTTCTTAGCTTTAAGTTAAGTTACCAAGCAAAGCTATTGTATCTCCCTAACAGACAGTTTAATCAGGATTGACAGAATTGGGACAGTTACAGCATGTTTTTATTACAATTCATTCTACTGGCATGTGCAGTTTTAATTGTATCACAGTTTTGGTGTAATTTTTTTTTTTAATTAATAATTACTTCATTAAATTCAAATGTCAAAGAAATAGCTGAATAAAGGTTCACTCTTGGTTTTCAGTAAAAATATATTTATTTATTCTCTATTAGGGCTAGGCCGATAAACGATAAAATTGATGTCAATAACAATATTCTGGACTTTTTTTTACTCTATATTGATATAAGAGCCAATCACACAGCTGTAATGTGCAACAATGGGTATTTAAAACTGTGTTGATATTAGAGATCTAAGTTACTCTAATTAGTTACATCTAATTTTTATGGCTTCAGTCATTGATGTATTAGCCTACTCCTTTAAATCTGAAACCATTGACAAAAAATATCAAAATATATATGGTTATCATTCAATATGGAAAATAATTAGCGAAACTGCATTTTTGCCATATCAACCAGACCTATCATAAACTGTGTTGTAAGTCTGTTTTTATACAGATAAACCAATCAGGACAAGTCATGATCCATAATATACCAGTGCTATTATATGACACAACACAAATTCAATTGCAAGCAAAATAAAAAATGGGGGTAAATGTTTAAAATCATTGTCCAAGGCAGTGTAATACTATACAGTAGTGGAGTGTTCATCGCAGTCTAGTTTGTACCACAGACATGCTCACGAGGGCGGTAAAGTCCTTTGCTAGGTTAATCATAAAGTCCTCGAAGATTCATGGGAACTTCCCGGATGTAGACATTCCAGGAAGTGAGTCCTATGACAACAACCCTGTGACAAACCGACGCTGTGTGCTTTGGCTTGAGGAACAAATTTTCTAGGAAACCGAGCAAAATGGATTGATCGTGTAATTACAGTAAGTAACAATGAGTGAAAACCATGTGGTAATCTATAGGACGGAGGCGTGTCGAGGTTTAATGACACACCAGTGCTGGTTAACAGCTTTGAGAAATCTCCAGATGGTGTGTGTGTGTGTTTGCGAGGTTATTGAGCTGGAAACACTTCCTCTTTGGAATATTTTTTCCAAATGTTTCCTGCTAGATTGTATTAATTAGTCTAGAAACTTGTTTCGTACAACTTTTAGGAAAGCTGTTTTTAATGTGCAATTAATTGTTCACCATTCGAGTTTCTGTTTACTTGTAGATTCAGTGAAAATTGTTTTCATTTTTATGTCCTGAAACCATTGATCACATGACTTCTATTCATACTGGGGCAAAATTGGTTTTATATTTGCACATTCAAACTTTCTCCCTAATATTATACTTTTAGAAAAGTATTCTTTGCAAATTCTAAACAGGAAACTCATATTAGCAGCCAGAGAATATCAAATTACATCATTGTGCAGAGCCAAGTAAATATTGCTGATTAACGTTAGGGATGCTTCGATAAGGATTTTTGCAGGCGATATTTAGTCCTAATTCCTTGTTATGGTGATCAGCCGATACAGAGTACAGATTCTAATGCTTTAAGCTTTTTAATAAGTATGATTCCTCTAAGTATGAACTTAATGAAAATAAATGAAGGATGCTGCATATAATACCTTAAACAATTCTCTTATAACTATTTAGGTATGAACATGTCATGGCCAGAAGCAGATTTACAGAAAATAATTCATTCATTCATTTTACTTCGGCTTATTCCCGTATTTGTCAGGGGTCGCCACAGCAGAATGTACCACCACAAAAATTAGTAATAAAAATGACAAACAATGCATTTTGGAAACACTGCAAATGATGAAAGGAGAATTCAACGTCTCAATCATGAAAAAGTTTGGAGCGGATATTTGATGCATAACAAGTTAAAATGCAGATCTAGAAAATCGAATACATCTTTACAATGAACAGAGGTCGCACCGCATCTCTGTGTATTTTAGTTGCTGTTAAAAGATCGCATCAGGCACCTCCTGTTGTGGCTGCTGTAGGCTATGCATAATATATAGGAGCGCATGTGCATCTACCTCTGCTTGTAAAGTCATAAACAAACCCCCTGCGATCAACTCTTGAGTAACTGGCAATTGCAGATCGAGTCATGAAATGTGATTATCTTTGGCCGATCGATCGGAGCATCCCTAGAGCTAATGCTGTTTTTGAAGTCATACTTCTATGCTATTTCTGACCGACTATTCAAAGTAAACAATATAGGAACTGTGTCACAAGTTATCACTGCACGAATATGTGAATATAAAACCAACTTTACCTCAGATTTGTCTTTGTTTTTCCCAGGGAAGAGCATGGAGAATGATGAATTTCCGTCAGCGGATGGGGTGGATTGGTGTCGGACTGTACTTGCTGGCCAGTGTCGCTGCAGTGTATTACATATTTGAGATCAGCCAAACATACAACCGACTTGCATTGGCACAAGTGGAAAAAACATCTGGAGCGCAGGCAAAATGGCCAGGAGACGCTTCATCCTCTTCCCCTTCTTCAACCTCATGGATAGTAACTCTGAAAACGAGACTTCTCCTCTTGCCCTTCTGGGTTTGGGCCACCATTTTCCTCCTTCCCTATCTGCAGGTGTTTCTCTTTCTCTACTCCTGCACAAGAGCGGATCCCAAGACTGTAGGATACTGTATTCTGCCCATCTGCCTTGCTGTCCTCTGCAACCGTCACCAAACTTTCACAAAGGCCTCCAATCAGATCAGCAGACTGCAGCTGATTGACACCTGAAGATGTGGGATCAGATCTTGGTGCCATGTAGTTTGGTGACTGTGGGGTTGAACGATACAAAAGTGCATTCAATAATTGTTTATTTTTTTCAGTCCTGACTTCTTTTTCTTTCTTTTTTTTGGTTATAGGAGTTAAATGAGGACTATATTTAGGACTTTTCTGTGTTTTTTCTTTACAAATGAATTGTTCCACACCAGTTTTTATTGTGTATTTTTAGCACTACAGACTACAGGCTTGTGATGTTTCATACTGCATCCTTTCAAGCCAAATGATGTAAGTGGTCTGCATTTTCATTGATTAGATTTATTAAAGAGGATCCACAAGTGTTTTCCATGTCAGCACAGTGTAAGGTACTTTTTAGATGTTTAATTTACGTTGAAATAAAATGACTTTTATAATTTAAATAAAATTTGATAATTGAAGTCCAAGTCGCCTAAATGGAGTCTGTTAAGCCATGGTCTAAGCTTTGGAGAATATTGTTGGGACCGCATGCAGAACTCTGATGCTAAACTACTTGAATTACACTTTTAATTGTGAGTGGACTGACTAGAAATCAATATGAATAAAGATGTGTCAATGTATACAAGTATATATGTTTCCATAGCATGAGGCCAATGGATTTGTAGTGTCACTTTAATGCTTCAGTTGTTGTTTGTTTCAACTCCAGCAGACATTTTGTTAGTGGAAAATATGAGAACTAGTTCCACTAACAGGATGTGTTTTCATTTCTTTAAACCAGTGTCTGATTTGTATTGATTATAAAATGCACTCAAGGAAGGAAAAATGTAAAATAAGGAAACATTTGTATTAAGAACAATCAATCTATGATGAATGCATTTGAATAACAGTATTTCTGTACGATCAAATATGATTTTCTGTCAGCTCTTAAAAGTATTTTTATGCAATTCTGTTTGACAAACACTAATTATGTTTCACCATAGTGATAATCGAGTGTCCTCAGAGAAAATACATAAGTGTGTTTTGCAAAGCAAGTTCTTGACATTCATTGTTTGTTCGTAAAAGTAGTGCACTCAATCTCATGTCTTATTGTGGAGGGATATCAGTATAATTTTATAGCGTGAATTATCTTATCTTTATAAGAAATGCAAATGGTTCTTTAAAGTTGTTGGGTGTGGTAGAGTTTAACACAAGATTCAAGCTTTATATAAGCCTGTACCACAGATGTTTTAAATGGCTTCTTTGTGGAAATATTGGGTCATATTTGGATTATTCATTCATTTGTTAAAATGTTGAGTTTTTTTTACTCAAAGGGCTTGTCTGTGAATTTTTAATGATGTTTATTGCGTATTTGTTAATAACTTTCCATTGCAATCTCAAAACACTGTGGTTTGAAACAAGTCTGGATTCTGATGAAATCAATAAAGAAATGTGCCGAGTGTATTCTTTTTAAACTGTTACACTGATTTCTCAATCAGAAACGCAGACATTTGATTGGACGGTTTGAATCCAGTTTATTGCACAATGATTTTATTATTGTGTGCTGAAGTTCTGATAACTGCTGTCAATGTTTAACTTTTTACAACAGGACAAAAAATGCAACGATGAAATTGTTTCCCTTTTGGAGGGACCTAAATTTATGTAAAATAACTTGCAGAATGGAAACAAAATAAGGCAAAATCTCAACACTGTCTTGAAGTCACTAGCGGATAAAAGTAGATTTTTTAAGGAGGAGGGCAACATTAACTCTGTATGCAAAAAGGCCTGATTAATGTGAGTTCTGCTTATCATGAACGTAAAGTTTTCATCTTCTTGCTTGGAGGTTCTGAGCTTGACTTGGTGATGGTGGTGGTTTTTGTGGCACTGCCATCATCATCATCGCTGTCCTCTTCCTCATCATCTTTAACATGAGATTAAGGGGACAAAAGTTACAAATCACAACAAATCGTATCACTTTAAATGTAATAAAGTATTTTTACTTTTTAACTACTAAATTTGAGATCATGTGGCTTTGCTATGATTTTTAGTGTAAGCACTTACAATACTAAAAATAGTATATTCCCGAGTATTACATTTCTACACTGTAAAACAAAAAGTGACGATAACTCAAACCATTTAAGTTCAAAAACTAATCCTAATGAGCGCTGTGAACTTAATCCATTTGAGTAAATGAAGCAATTTGAGCACAGTAAAACCCAATACATGAAGATAACTCAAACCAACTGAATATTGTAAAATCCAAGTTAATGCAACTCGTTTAAGGAAACTGAAACAAACCATTTGAGTTAAAAACCTAATCTATATGAGTACTGTGAACTTACTCTATTTAAATTGAAGTAATTAGGTATTTAATTAACTCATTACCTTTAACATCGAGTTCAAAACTCTTTTCAAATGAGTAGAATTAACTTTCAGTCAATTTTGAGTTAACTACACTCATTTTATTTTATAAGGTTGACTTGGGTTTTACAGTGTATTATAATAAGATATACTTGCTAAATATGTGAAGTAAATATGTCAGCACTTAGATATATTTTTAGTAAATGACAAATGACATCAAAACTCTCTATCATATTTAATCACAGTTATGTTAGGGGACACTTTTAACCAATTTATTAGTTATGGTTGCTTGACTTTTACGTATTTTGGTTGGTTTTATTTCAGCTTCTTACCATTAACACTCTCTCTGTCATTTCCCGTTGAGCCTTTTTCTTGTTCAACGAGTGTCGTTAAGGCTTCTGAAATGTCGCCATTTATTTTCTTAATGCCACCTATTATTGATTTCAAATTGCCATCCACTTGTGCTGTAAACTGGTTCGTCTGTCCATCTCTGTATTTCAGCTCTCCCTTCAGCTCGCACGCTGCCATGTTGAACGAACACAATGTAACCAGGTTGCCAGATTTCACAAGAAAAACACGCAGTTTAAAAAGAACTGTCATGGTTTATGTTCTAATTCGGCCATTAAAAAAAACAAACAAATTAAAAACCCAAGAAATCACAATTCATCACCACAGCGTGGAACATTCTGGTATTGTAGTAAATTGTGTTTTTTTTTTTTTTACTAATTTGTTCATCATTTTATTTACCTGCAAAAAGGAAAACAATGATTATTGTGCACACAATTTACTAAAAACAACGGTATAAATAAGCACATGTTGATGTAGGCCTGTTAATCAGTTGTGGAGTTAAATAAGTTAATCAGTAACTTTAACCAGTAGTTAAACAGCAGTGGTTGTTTATAACTGATCACAGATCTGATAATTTAATTAATATTAATAGCTAATGACAATAACATAATTGTGTCAAATAGAATGCTTTCTTTTTTACTAATATTTTTTATGTATTTTAAAGTTTTGTACTGCTTCATATGTCATCGTATAATCCTGTATGCTTATATCAGTTAAATGCTTCAGTTTCAAAGTAGTAAAATACGTGGACATGGCAACACCGATTTACCCTTTGAACTCTGACCTATTGGATTGATTTAGCAAATATTATTGTTTTCTGGTAACACTGACATTGTGGTATTTTGTAGGTATGCTGTTTCATTATAAAATAGTCAGAAGAAAATAACTCTACCACAATAAAATGTATTTACAACACCCGCAACTCTCCCGCCAAAACATCTTGTATTTGCATAAACCGGAAGCAGCATTGGTTTTGTTGTTGTCACAGTTAATCCCGAGAATTTGTTCGCGTGCTGTCAATTTGTCTGACGCGTTCACCCGTCTTTAGTTGTGTTTTGTATTCCGATAATCCTCTGCCGCTGTTAATTCGTGATCTCGGAAACGGTCCAGTTAGTTCGTGTCTCGTTTCGTGCCCTGGAACAGGAACTAGAAGCACTTTTTTGCTCTCGTGTCTTCAAGGATGGCGGCAAATGATGGAGAGGAGGCGACTGTATCTCTGGTGGACGTTTTAGAGGAGGACGAAGAGCTGGAGAACGAAGCCTCCGCTGTTCTTGGAGGAAGTGATTCAGAGAAATGCTCATATCCCGAGGTTTGTTGTCTCTTTTGTAAACACTGCCTTTTCCCGGAGTTTAACTTTAAAATATGCGGTCTATACCTTCACACAGCTTGTTTTCATTTCGACAATTTAGTAATATTCTCGCAGAAATATGCTTTGGGTTGACATTAAGTATCATTAAACGTCGATGTTTCAAACAAACCGTATTTCATTAACAGACAGTATCAGCATCACCGAACAAGCAATGACTGTGAGCAGATACTGTGAAATTACATTCAAGTTATGGGAAAATAAGCTGTTTACTAAATTATTAAATTTAAAATAAGATAATCTTAAATAATTCTCAATATTAGCTGTTTTTAGCAGAATAAAATCTGTAGAATTATGCTATAGGATTTTATGAGATGATAACCTAACACATTTATTTTCTTTTCAGCTTAGTCTCTTTATTAATCAGGCATTGCCACAGCGGAATTAATCATCAACTTAACCAGCATATGTTTTTACCAGCGGGTGCCCTTCCAGCTGCAACTCATTACTGGGAAACACCCATACACACTCATTCTCGCACACTACAGACAATTTAGCTCCCCCAATTCACCTAAAGTGCATGTTTTTTGACTGTGAGGGAACTGGAGCACCCGGAGAAAATCAACACTGAGAGAACGTGCAAACTCCACACAGAAACGCCAACTCATCCAGCCGAGGCTCGAACCAGCGACCTTCTTGCTGTGAGGTGACAGTGCTACCCACTGTGCCGCCCGAAAACCTAACACGGAGAATAAAAAATGTATTTTAAAGTTTACAATCAAAATCCAATCAGAACAAACTGTTTGGTAAACAAAGCTACAGCAGGTCTCTCATATAATACATCCACTAAAAGACAGAACAAATATAACCTATAACATCACATTGTATTGCACATAATTTATCTAAATTTTTGCATATTATTCAATACTAATAGTGTAATTGCTATAAAATAAAATATCTTTGTGGGCACAGATTCCATACTGCGGGCCCAGTACTTATTACTAGATCCAGACAGAATCTGCTGACATTTTTTGCTATTTCTGCAGAAAATTTACACACATTTACACAAGTAAATACATAGACTAAAATAGACTAAAATATGCGGAATTCTGCTCACGCAGATTCTGCGTGGGCCTAGTAATTGTAGGTCATGAAAACAAGGTGATTTATTGTTTGTTTTTTTGTCTTTACAGGGGTATGTGAAGCGGCAAGCTCTGTACGCCTGCAACACCTGCACACCAAAGGGAGGAGAGCCAGCTGGCATCTGCCTGGCATGTTCCTACAAGTGTCATGAAGGCCATGACCTTTTTGAGCTTTATACCAAGAGGTGAATATTCCCAAAATCTCCCTTTACTATTCACTCGAGCTGTGATACTATGTTAAAGAGTACATTTAGACTAACACTAGTCTAAGCAAAGTAACTCTCTTAATGCCATATATCTGAATACTATTTTTTGTATCTGGGTTGTTTTGTTATGGTTAAGATGTTGAGTTGGGATTATAGATGACCAGAAACCAAAACACATGAGGTTTGAGGAGACACTGCAGAATTGAATTATAATAGAGTGTGAGCATGCATCTGCATGTGTTTTTAAGGCCTGTGACTATGTAAGCATTTTAAAAGCGTTTAAAACATTTTAATAGTGCATAAAGTAGTTTAATAAAATAAATAATATTTTATGCTCTTTTATATTTAATTATTGAATTTCTGTACCTGAATACTGCTAGACTATAAGGCACAGTTTGTTTCATTTTAATATTTGCTCCATTGTGTTTATTTTGATTGTGGTTTGTTTATTAGGTGTATATAATAAATCACATAATATATTTATGTTTCACTCCCTAACAAAACCATCCTAATCAATCAAAATTAATAACTTTCCAAATAGAGCTATTTAATCCATTTGGTGAAATTGTATTTATATCACAATTTATGTCACACGGAAAAAGTATCTCAATGTCAAATTTTCCAATATTGTGCAGCTCTATATAAAACAATTATAAATTAATATATTAAGCTGAAACTTGGATGTTTCTGTTCAGCAACTTTTCATTCAATGCATAAATGTGGAGAGAAATTTATTTTTAAAGAGAAACTGAAAAATGTTAGAATTTACTCACTTTTACTTATTCTAAACCTGTTTGACTTTTACAAAAAGAAGATATTTTGAAGGATGCTGGAAACCTGTTGACTTCCATTGTAGGAAAAACAAATACTATGGAAGTCAATGGTTACAGGTTATCAGACTTCATTTGTAGAATAAAGAAATATGAATTTATGTCATGATTTCTCACAACATACATATTTAACAACATATAACATAAATTATATAAAAAAAATTATATTGTTATATTTCTAAGTCAGGTAAATAGAGATTTATTATGAGAAAATGGTAAACTCTGCATTGCTGTTATGAAATGTTATGAGGAATCTGCATTCATTACTTTGATTGATATCACAGGAATTTTCGATGTGATTGTGGAAACGACAAGTTTGGTGACATGGAGTGCAAGCTGTTTGCTGTAAGTTATGCATCACCATTAGTTTAAATATGTGTCTTTCAGTCTCAACTTTAATAATGGTGATTATGTATTTCTGTCATGCAGGATAAAGAAAAAGTAAATTCAGGAAACAAGTACAGCCACAATTTCTTCGGCTTGTATTGCACATGTGACAGACCCTACCCAGATCCAGAGGACGAGGTAAAGAGCGGTTTAGTCTGAGCTGCATTCTGTTACATACTTTCACATTGTGTTCTTTAAATAAATATTAACTCTTAATCTGAATTGAACCCACAATCCAGGTTTCAGATGAGATGATCCAGTGCATCGTGTGTGAGGACTGGCTGCACGGTCGGGTTAGTTTCACATCAGACTGCAGTCATACAAGATGTGACTTACTTTTTGTGTTTGTGTAGATTAGAAATATAGTCTGTTCTGGTCAAATCTGAAGGATGTTTTGTTTCTTCCAGCATTTAGGCTGTGCAGTTCCAGACTGTGTGGAGCTACAAGAGATGATCTGCGAATCATGCATGAATAAAACACCTTTCCTTTGGAACTATGCGGCTCAAATTGCAGGTAAAGATGTTATATCTGTTTTTGCTTCTATTTAGCATTTACAGATATTTGGTATGAGAATTACTTGTAAATATTTTAGTAAATCATTATACAAAAGATTTGTCAAGTCCAGGACACACCAAGCCAACACCAAACAACTAGTGCCGATGAAAACAAACTGCTTGTCTTGTCTGGACCAAAAGGCATATGAACACACCAAATGGACAACAGAAATGAGAGCGCTGCTGCGTCCCAATTCACATACTTGTGCTATAACCTAATGGCCCGTTTCCACTGACTGGTACAGTAAGGTACGAGTCGGTACAGGTCAACTTTTATCAGGCTTGCATTTCCACTACCAATGGTACTCTATTGGTGGGTGTGGTGTACAACAGAGTTTCAGTCGATGTCATTCTCTCTCAAATGTCTACAGTAAAGCTGTACAGGTCGTTCACATATATGAGAAGCACTTCTCACAAAACAGATGCTTTATACACATAAATACTTGTTTATAAATGTTTATTACTAACTTTTCTTTAAACATGATTAAATGAAAACTACAGATTAATGACAGTGTGAAATAGCCTACTGTAAAGTCTGCAATTATGTCAAATAAATAAAAAAATGCAACGTATATGAACACATACACTGCGATACGTTACCAACTTCAGAAAAACTACACACAGCATACATTTAGTCCTTATTTGAGTTCAAAAACAACACAAAATATAGCCCACAGTCAGAGCAAACCTCTCATCTGTGTCTGTAATCTACAGCAGCACATGTAGCCTCTGTTAGAGAGTAATTTTGTCATTCCAAGTTCATAATAGTCCAG